TCACTGTATTGACCAAAATAAATCATTACAAAATACTTTAATGTAGTATTGATTTTTCTCCTATTGTCAGGAAATACAGTCATGAGTTACCACCACGTCAGTCTCTCTGTATTTTTTATAAGACACATTTGTTGCTCCCGTCACATAAATGTGGAGGAGCCTAGTGGCACAGCAGCTTGACCGTTGGCTGCTAACAGAAAGGGTAGCAATTTGAACAGACCAGCTGTTCTGTAGGCAGAAGGTGAGGTGGCCTGCTTCAGCAAAGAGCTGCATCGTTGGAGCTGCCATTCGCCTCTCTGCCATTCGCCTCTCTGCCATCTAGTTAGGACAACCCCAAGGACAGGGTAGAACTCCCTCTGTGGGTTTCCAAGACTGTCGATCTTTATGGGAGTAGGGGATCTCATCTGGTGGTTTCGAACTGCTAAATAGGGTTAACACAGCACGTAAGCCCTGTGCCAGCAGGGCTCCTTTGGAAACACTATGGGGCAAGGTTATTCTATTCCTTAGGGTGACTGTGAGGGGGAATGAATTCAGTGGCAATGTCTTTTTTTTTTTTTTTAAGGTCAATGAGACCTTTAAAAAAACAATAAATGACAACTCTACTGGAAACTGTGTTGTCATTTCTGGCTTCCTGTGTAATTTCTAGTCATTCCCTCAATCCTACGTGCTAACTCTGTGTGCGGCAAACAGGACTAGGTATCTCCAGAACGCTTAGGCTGGTGCTTTTGTTGTAGCCACCTAGGTGAGTGTGGAGTGAAGTGGTAACTCCTTGTGGTTTTGATTCGCATTTCCCCAATGACTAATGCTACCCAGCATCTTTTCACGAGATTACTGGCTGTTTGTATGTCTTCCTGGAAGAATCCTGTGTTGAGATCATTTGCCCCATCCCTTCTTCTTGATTGAGGTGTTCGCTTTCCCATTTCAGGTGTGTGTTCTCATTCCTGAACACATCAGATAACTGGTTTGTACTCTGTCCTCTTCTCTGGATTGCCTTTTCTCTTTCTTGGTGTGTTCCCTGATGCACAATCATTTTTTAATAATAATGAAAGTTCAAAGGATTTCTCTTTCATTTTGTTGCTCTTGACTTTGGTGTCCTGTCTAAAAATCCTTTGGCAAATCTAAAACCCTGAGGACTTACCCTTGTGTTTTCTCTGAAGGAGTACCTGTGGGGGAATGCCAGCCCCCACAACTAATCTTGGGTTCAATAGGTGCAATTGTACAGTTATATATGTATAATAAAAAAGTCTTAGAGAATAAGAAGAGATCGAAGAGAGATTGAAATAATGGAGTCAGACTCATTTCATGGTAGCATGTTCACCTCAGCCCTGCTTGGTGGTCCACGAAAGGATGTGGAAGGTGGGAATTGCAGGAGCGAGCAAGAGAGAGGGAGGGGAAGAGGCACAAGGGGAGAGGGGACAAGGGAGTGAGGACGGGGGAGAGAGGACCAGGAGAGAGAGGGACCAGGAACCAGGGGAGAGAGAGTCTTTATTGCTAACCAAGGCTTATATATCTTTGGGGGAGAGGAGGCGGCATGCAAGCCCCCTAATTACAGGTAAAGACATATGTCACAGGAAGGGGTTGTACTATAGGCAATACAGTCATGAGAGGGAGATGATTCTAGGGGTATACATGCAATAGGAAGTGGAGGGATTGGGGGCACACATGTGACAAGATGGGCAGATCCTAGATTCAGGATGGCAGCCTAGTTTTGATGTCACTGAGCGGATTTGACCTGTTCTCTGGCTCTCCATGGAAACAATTACTATCCTTATCAGTAGGGTGTGAACCCCACTTACAGTGGACTAGCAGTCTGAATGCCATCAGGGAGAATATCTCTAAGCATCTGACCTCCCACCCTGTGCTGGCAAGTTGCCTCTAATGTTTGGCCTATCTTTGGGGGAGACAAAGCCGGGGAAAAGTCTTTTTATATCCCATAAGTGCCTGCTGCACAGGTTTAATGCACTTGGTTTTTAATCTGAAGGTTGAAGTTCAAGTCTAACTAGAGGCACCTCAGAAGAAAGGCCTGTCAATCACCCCACCCCCCCACCCCCAACAAACAAAACCCAGTCATGAACTCTATGGAGCACAGTTCTACTCTGACATACATGGCGTCGCCATGTATCTGAGTTGGCTGACAACAATTGTATAACTGGTTTTTCTTCTAAGAGTTTTATCTCTTACATTTTATGTCTTTGGTCTATTTTGAGTTAGGTTTGATAAATGGTGTGGGGTGCCAGCCGAAAGCCTTTCTTTTGGAGGCTATCCATTTGTCTCAGTACCACTAGTTGAGAAGATGATTTTAATTTTTTCTCCTCCATTCAATGGTCTTGTCACCCTTCTTGCAAATCAGGCGACCATACAGGTGCCTTCTCTGGAAAAGTTGAGTGATAAGGAGACACTGCTTGCCTTTCTCCCACTGTTACCCGAGTCCTTGGGAAACTGCTGTAGGCTCAGGTGGGGAGGACCGAGTTTCCTCTTTGCACACCATTCTCTCAGAATGTGGAAAGGTAGTTCTGATTATGATGTGATGTTGATAGTGATCTGTCTAGCATTTGAACCATGCTATCTTTGATATCACTAGGAAAGAGAAAAGGCTCCAGGAGACTTGATAAGAACTGCCCTAATAAGGCTGCACATTAAGTTAGATGTTGCGACAGTGGTCACCTACAACAAGCCCTCTAACCTGCAGTGGCAGTCGGCCTGTGGCTGTTGTCAGAGCCAGGAAACTCTCAGGAGCAGACATGGAGAGAATAATTAGTCTAACCTCTACTCTGCTTTGAGAACGTCTCTCTTGGTTTTAAAACCTAATGTGAACATTTTAGCAATTTCAAAAGACAGAGTCACATTTTGGTATGTGAATACTTTGTATTTGATTCCATTAAAAATGTTGTTGAGTATTTATTTTGTGCAAGATACTTACAGATATGTTTGAATCCCCTCTCAAACAGAGCCCACACTGGCCCTCACAATCGAGTGTTTGGTTAATTATGTAAGACCATCCAATTCTGAAATTAATAACGCTTGATGTTGATGATTTTTATGATACTGGTATTTGAATCCTGGGACATTTTTTCTTTCTTAATGTTTCTATTTAGCAAAACAGATATATTCCAGGCTTCTTGATTCTCAACTTGGAATTCTTCCATCATTTGAGATGGCTTCATGTTCTCCAAGGATCGATGCCCCCGTCTTGAACTTTGAACTTCCAAAAAGGGCATCCTGTCTATTTCTACTGAGGCCAACGTTTCTGCTTCATTTAAAAAAAAGATTTCAAATCCTAGAAACGAAATGCAGTCTCTCTGGACACTTAGCTTTTTGTTAGGGTGTTGGATCTTGATTTATGTGGTTTGATGGAAAGAATCACGTGTGTTTATTCTTGTTTGTTATAGGTTAACGAAGCCCTTGTCGTTTGCTGATTGTGTTGGGGATGAGCTGCCATGGGGATGGGAAGCAGGGTTTGACCCTCAGATTGGTGTCTACTACATCGATCACGTCAACAGTAAGTCTTCCTTTTTGGTGAAAGCAATCAGAGAAAAGGAATGCCAACACACAGCACCACCACCATCACCCAAACAACAAACACAAACTGACATTGCCACACGAGAAATGTGCCACCTTTTCATGTAATTTTGCTCATTTTAAAGCTACTTTCTTGGTTATTAAGATTTAACTGAAATCCACATTTTGGAAACTGGCGCTTATGTGTAGTGCTGAGTGGTGGCAAAACAGCAAAAGAAAAAGAATGCCTGACTTACCTGTCTCCTGTTTGCCCATCAGATAGCGATGTCCATGCCTGTTAGAGACTCGTGGGAGCCACGTACTGGCCCGGGGAGGCCAGGAACCATTTTGGCTCCTCTTCATGCCACGGCGCCTTCAGCTAGGGATTCCACCCGCCGCTTGGCAGAGAGAGCAGTAGCTGCGGGAAAGACACTGTTTTCCTATATTCTCCTTTCTCTGTTGTTGGAATAGCCTTTAAAGCTATCACGTCCCTTGCAAGGTAAGGCTCACTCACTGCCCTGGAGCCCATACTGATACATGGCGCCCCCTATAGGGCAGGGTGGAACTACTGCCCCCATGAGTACTGCAGCTCTTTACCAGGGTAGAAAGCCCCATCTTTCTCCCTCAGAGCTGCTGGCAGTTTTGAACTGCTGACCTTGCAGGTAGCAGCTCAACGAGTAACCACTATGACACCAGGGCTCCTTAAGGTAAGGCTAGCATAGTATTATCAGGGCCAAGATACTCACTGTTAGTCATTTTGCTTATTTCACTTAAAAATACTTAGGGTTTAGAGATTATATAGTGGAATTGTTTCCTCTGGTTTCTCTTAAGACTATTCTTGTCTTACACCATCCACTGTGGCCCTTCACCCACATTTCTGTTGTTCGCCCTCCTGAGGGGAAAGGGTTGAAGAGAGGCAAAGGGGGTGAATTATATGTTGATCCTTGAGATGCATTCCCCCCTTTTTCCCCACCTTCCTCTTACCCCCATGGTATCGCTACTCCCATTACTGTTCCTGAGGGATTTATCTGTCCTGGATTCTGTGTGTCGAGAGCTCTTATCTGTACATGCTCCGGACTAGCTGGATTTGTAAGGTAAAACTGGAGTCATGATAGAGGGGGGTCGGGGTGGGGGAGGGAAAGAAGGAAGCATTAAAGAACTAGAGAACTGTGTGTTTCATTGGTGCTGTACTGCACCCTGGCTGGCTTGTCACTTCCTGTGACCCTTGTGTGAGGGGACATCCATTTACCTACAGATGGACTTTGGGTCTCCACTCTGACCCCCCTTGTTTGCATCCATATGATTGTTTTGGATCTTTTGATATCTGATATCTGATCCCGTCGACACCTCATGATCACACAGGCTGGTGTGCTTTCTACACGTGGACTTTGTTGCTTCACTGCTTAATGGCCGCTTGTTTAATGTCAAGCCTTTAAGACCCAGATGCTATATATTGTAATAGCCAAGCACCATCAGCTTTCTTCACCACATTTGCTTATGCACCCAGTTTGTCTTCAGCGATCGTGTTGGGAAGGTAAGCATCACAGAATGCAAGGTTATTAGAACAAAGTGTTTTTGCATTGAGGGAGGACTTGAGTGGAGAGAGACCCAGTGTTCATCTGCTACCTTAATACTTAACATGTAAATATATGTACCTAGACCTATAGCCCTATTGTTATGTATTACTATATTTACATGTAAACGTGCCTTTATAAAATGCTTTTCTTGATGTGTTGTTAACATACTAGGTTTTGTTGCTTCTTAGGTATTGGCAAATGAATGCTGTAATCCATTTTTGTTAGAAGGGATTAATTTTCAAAACATTAAATTCATTTGAATTGTGTTTCATTCTTAAGTTATTGCAAACCAACAATTCAGTGGACGAAGCTGAACTGTGTTACTATTTAATTCTTATTTTACATGGCAAAAAGCCAGCATTGTTTCTTTAGTTTAACTAGCTGCTGTAGTTAAATAGAAATTTTCATGTATCCAAATGAGAGAAATGAAGTTTCTATGGTGTACAAAGTCTTCCGTATCTAAACCCACCTTTTTTCTCAGTGAGAGAGGCATTCTCCTGGACAGCCTGTCCATGTCCCCGTTCCCCACCCCACCCCCACCCCGATTTCCTCCCCCTTTTAGGAGCCCTGGTGGCGTAGTGGTAATGCATTGGGCTGCTAACCACAGGATCAGCAGTTTGAAATCACCAGGTGCTCCACAGGAGAAAGACAGAGCTTTCTGGTCCCATAAAGAATTAATCTCAGAAACCCACAGGGGCGCTGTTACCCTGTCCTGCAGGTCACTGTGAGTCAGAATCAGCGTGATGGCAGTGAGTTTGGGTTTTTGTTTTAAAGTTTTATGTCCCATTCCTCTCTCATGTTTTGTTTCTTTATCTATTATTCTATGGATTGAAAATGTGACCCACCCGATCATAGTGTTTCTTTTGTCTTAGGATATAAGCATTGCATCTTACCAAATGAAAGCAAATCAAAACTACTGAAAGAAAATCAAACAGCCAAATGACGGGACACACATACAAAAAAACCATTCTTCAGCCATGGTCCTCTCTGCTTCCCCTCACCGCCGAATTCCTGGAGAGCCACGTTGCTGTTGAGTGCTCCAGAGTCGAGTCCAACTCACAGTGACGCTGTGGCACAGCAGAACTGCCCCACAGTGCTGCCCAGCTTGTACTCTTCATTGGGGAAGATTGCCACATCTTTTCTAGTTGATTTGAACTGTAGGCCTTACTGAGAAATTATACGATCCAAAGGATACCTTACAGGTTGTCTTCCCTGGCATGATGGAGCCTCCTGAAATTGCTTCCTCTTGCTCATTATCCCTTTGGATTTCGTGACATGCTGCACACATGCACACACGTTAAGTCTGTCTGTCTGTCTGTCTGTCTCTCTCTCATCCTGCTCAATTTTCTTTTGCCATTACCTGGTATCTATATCACTATCTTCTGCTGTCTGCACGTTCAATTGTCCTTGGGTGAGTAGCATCAGTTAACACTCTTCAAGTTACTGGCTGCCAAATTTGTCCAAGTATTTTCAAGAGCTGCAGGTGCATTGAGTTGATCCTGTGCTAAGTCTCTTTCCTGTCTGTTCCCAAACGGTTCACCGTCTTTCCCTTCTGTCCTGCATTACTCTGGAGGAGGACCCTTTTCTAAGTGTCCAGTTCTGCCCTGTGCTGCCTGGGCTTTTGTGCATTTCTCGGCACGCTCTGTGCCGGCCCCAGGCCTCCCTGTTTTCCCTGCTCTCATACTTACAAGGACCCTTCAGAACCCAGGCCGCTACTTTCCCAAACAGTGACGCCCGATTTTCCATCTTGTGAGCCCCATCCGCATTTTGGATTATAGGCACAGTCTGTGTGACCGTATAGTACTGAAAACCCTGAGCTGAGAAAGACAGGGCTTTCTACTCCGTAAAGAGTTCCAGTCTAGGAACCTCGCGGGGCAGTTCTACCCTGTCCTGTAGGGTCACTGTGAGCTGGCATTGACTCAATGGCAGTGCGTGGGGTTTGAGCATAACCCTAAAAACCCACTGTCATCAGCTGATCCTGATGCACAGCGACCCTGGGTAGGGTTTCTGAGACCTTAAATCTCAGAGACGTGACTAGATGTGACTAGATGTGAGGCTACCAGGGGTATTTATAGTGCTAATACTTACGGGATTTTTTTGCTGTGGTTTTGAAAAAATGAAACAAAATGAAAGACACTAGTGCACTTGTTATATTACATATTAATTACTTATTTGTCTATTTTCCTCACTAAATTATGAGCTTCTTGCGGGTAGTACCTGTATCTCGTGGTTCTTTTATCTCTAGTGGTTAGTGGTGCCATGTACTCTTCAATGTAGCAGGAACGACTTTATTGCTTCATTACGATAAAAGCTTCTTGTTTGTTTTTTAAAAGAATTGACGTGCATTTCAGGTTTAAATTGTGCTTAAGATTATTTAAAAACTTGAATGTCCGAATATAAATTTTTACATCTATCATTCAACTGTAGTGCAGTAATGGTATCCTCGTGGCCTGATGGATTTAATGTGCCCTAAAGTGCCCAAATTACCCACAGCTAGTAGTTTATCCAGTTAAAAGGATATGGTCCATTATCTCATTAATCTTCAAGACATTTTTGTGAAGGAGTTTAGGGAGCAAATGTTATTATCATCTCATAACAGCTGGTCCACACATATGTTGTGTCTTGACATTATATAGTTTCAGCATTATTTTCTCTTTATTTTAATGAAAAATGAAATAAAGAATGTTTGGTTGTTTCAAAACTATTTCTGTCGGACACTGTCAAATAGTTTTAAGTAAAAGATTTGACCTTCACAGTGATAGCTATTTTAGGCCCTTACTGATTTATGACAGAATTATCACCTTAAAAATTTTTTTAGTTGGTGAATGTAGACATTGTTGGGGAGGTTTATCACTATAGCCAGAAGTAAATCACTTTTCCGTAGGAGAAGAGATGGACCAACTAAGAGATGGACCTCTTAGTTGAGGTCTCATTTAACTTGTAAGTAAACACATAGGCTTTTGAGTAACTTTTGGTCAGAAATATGGAGGTTTTCATAATGATATCGTTTGACGAGCAGACTTTTTTGATGAATTTAAAATATCTTTAAAAAAGCACTGCTTATGTTTTGAAGGCTCTACTTACGAAATAACTCAAGATTGTGAAAATATTCTTGAATGGTGGCTTAAGCTATGTCACTGGAATTTCAAATACCAGCAGGGTCACCAAAAGTGAACAAGTTTCAGCAAAGATCCTTGACTAAGAGTAGATGATGAAGAAGGAGTAGGCTGTCTGCATCGGAGGAATTAGCCTCCGAAAACACTGTGGATATCACAGAACTAGTGTCAGATGCTTAAGGGTTAATGAACAGAAGCAGAGCATTGTCAAGAGGTGGTCCCAGAGGTCACTCAAAATATGATTGAGGAAGAGCCGGCTGCCTTCTCAACATAGACCCAACCATAATGATATGGACGCAGTAAAGCTG